AACTATTTCATCATGTATATTTTTTTCTAGGTGGACCCACCTTAAACGAAATCCTGGCTACGCCACTGGGTAGAAACATCCAACTCATACAAAGAAAAGAATGTACCAAGTCATGCATGACCAACGAGAGTGACTAACTCTTAAGCAATAATCATACTGTTGGGACTTTGGGACGAGGGTACACGTACGATAGCCCGAGATCGGGTGACCAGGATTGTGATAGAGTCGTGCATAACGTTCACTTTCCGAAAAGAATATTTCCACCCTCTACAAAGCCTTGAGTTACAGGAAATTTCTCCCGAGGATAAAATTATCACCACTTTAGGTTCTAGGCTTAAGAACAATAAAGCATACTTATAAATTTTTTGAAGAAAGAAAAAGAATATGTTTGATGGTATGTGGCACCATCCACCACACACATATATTTACAGGGGCCGAATCCATGCACTGTTTCATGAACGGTTATCTTTATCTATAAGAAAGGTTGTCTTTGTCCATATGAAAGGTTATCCTTATTCATATGAATGGTTGCCTCTATCCATAAGGTTGTCCTTATCCGTAAGGCCATCCTTATCCATAAAATAATGCAACAGCCACTAGGTCAAAAGGATGTGTCTCTTCATGAAATTAGAATATTGGTTCGGTCGGTTTAATCTCAAACCAGTTAATCGGTCCAACCCAAAATCGGTTTAACTTGGTTAGTCTGGTTCAACCAAATTTCCAACCCATACAAACTATGGATAACCCCAAAATGTGATTTATTCCTACTAATCTTTTGATTAAAGGACGATGCATTTTCTTCAAGTGGCTTGCACTTGCACATATACTCTCGGGCCTCAAATTTTGGGCTTGTATGCATTACTTGCTAATATGATTGGGATCAATCAATTACAATCATTTGGGCCGACGAAGGGGTTGCTTTTGCTTCGATGGAGAATGAAACGAGAAAATGTGAGAAACTACAAAAGTACAAATTAGGGATGTGAAGTTGGAGCATTATAGTAGTAAATTCCCTCTCATTCTTTTTTTTTCTTCTGAATTACTTGCTGTATGAGCTATGAGATGGTGTGGTTATTTTATTTTAGTGTGATTTGCAATTGATCATTCAACATGATTTGTCGAGAAAGTTATTTATTTGTTGGCGTTAATAGTTTAGAGAAAGTTCATTTTTCCCCTTTTCTTTATCATCTAATTTGTGTCATTGTGTTCCTTAGAACTTCTAACATATCTATCCACTTAGTGAGAAATCAATAATGTATATTAGCATACAATAGTTTCCAGATATCATGCGTGATTGTAAGATTTCATATAGTCTCAAAATACAGAGTTTGATATGAATGAATTGTAATGTTTATCCATTTGTATTAAATAAATAAAAATCATTGGAAAAATATTACAAATACTTAACCTTTTCTTTTATTTTATTCTGTATCTTATGTTCCTACTTAAGGAATTGCAATACACATTGACATGTAATTTTGAGATTGCAAATTTGTTATCCTCTCTTTATACATAGAGATGTGCAAGTGAACTGGTGAAACGGCTCCATAACTAAAGTACGATGGTGATTGCCCATATCAGTACCGTGGTAGAGCATACACTCAAGATAAAATGACAACACTGTCAAACAACGTTGTTTTCGCTTCGAAACCAAATACCACCGTCGGTGTCGAATTTGTTTCGGCTGTGTTGATTTGATGTTTCGCGATGAAAACTCTTGGGTGCCGTTTGATCGGATGCAACGCTCAATGATGAAATCGAGACGACCGTCAAATATCCACCATGCGGTGTTGATTTGATCAGTGCAACTCTGACTTCTGAAAACGAAGACGATCGTCAAATATCCACCGTCGGGCGGTGTTGATTTGATCGATGCACCTCTGACTTCTAACCAAGAACGACCGTTAATCGGTCCACACCTCTCCAAACAATGTTCGAACGAGGGTGTTTGAGTTTTTGAGGAATCTACGTTACGACTACTCCTATGGAGATTCCTGTGGAGAGCTCCGCGACTACGACTAAGACTACAACTATGGAGATCCTTCCTGGAAGGAGAGCTCCGCGAGGGAGTTATAGAGAAAAGGGTAAGTTTGGAACAGAGTTGTTCTGTGTTGATTTGTTTGTCTCCTTCTCTCTCCTTGCTCCGATGATTTTATCTGAAATCATCTACGTAGCCTTTACGCTTCGTGAAAACTGCTTTCTCAACTGCTCCGTCCTGAACTCCCACGTGTCTCAACTGCCTTGATCTCCTCTTCTCTCTTGTTGGCGTGAATCTCCCTCGAGTGCGAAACTGCTCTGTAGAGACTTAGCCAAAATGACACCGAGACAAAATCCATAGTTCTCCACCACGGTTCGATCCTCCGAACAACCATGTCCAAAAAATAAACAGCAACGTTGTTCTCACCTAAATAACGTTGCTCCTTAGTATCGCGACATTGTTTTGCCTTGCATCTAGCCAAACTTGCAATGTCATTGAACTTAGACTAGGCAAAACGACATTGAGCTTGCAACCTCGTCGAGTCCGTGACATCGTCAAACACACGCCATTGTTGAACTATCGCCACCGCGCTGTTGTGTAGTTTATTAATTAAACGGTGTCGTTTTACCCATACCGCGGGGTTGTTGATACCTTAAGCGATATCATTGGGATTACTCGCTTTATCATTTTTAATCAACGACACCGTCCAACATAACCAAAAAATACCAATTCATTAAACAGCCGAGACTTTGCACTCGTGTTGGGCTTGGCGGATTTTGGACCAAGCACTTACTCAATATGGTTCTTAATTAATCGGCATCGCTTACCAAGGCCTCTCGCGGTATCGTTTTCTAATCCGCGGTGTCGTTTTACCCATCCGCGATGCCGTTGTTAGAAGTTAAGTGACTTAATTATAATTAACCCATAGGGTTAAGAAGTCGGCCAGTATATATTGTTGAGATGGCCGACCTGCTCTTGTATTCTGTACGAGAATAATATACAAAACTCTGCCTTGTGTCGTGGACTAGTCTCCACGTTCTACGTTGAGGAAACCACGTAAATTCGGTGTTCGTAGCTCTCGATTGTGTTTGTGTTTATTGAATGGTATCAGAGCTTGGTTACGATCCAGGGACCTGTGGGTTATGGGCCCATCACGCTTCCGCTGTGCAATCTGAAGGAGCTTGGCAATCTGGCTTATTTTCTGGGCTTAGAAGTTCATCGCTCTTCCTTGGGTATTCATATTGGTCAACGCAAATATGTGATGGATTTGCTTGAGGAGGCACAGATGGATACTTGTACTCTGTGAGTGACTCCTATGGAACAGAACCTGAAGCTACATCAGACTGAGGGGGAGGCATTATTCGATGGGTCGTTGTATCGCAGTATAGTGGGCAGTCTGATTTACATGACTCATACACGTCCAGACATATCTTATATTGTGCAGGTGGTCAGTCAATATATGTCGGCTCCTAGGACGACTCACTGGTCTGCGGTTCAGCGCATTCTACGGTACCTTAAGGGTACAACAGACGTTGGGCTACTGTTTCCTGCTGGGGGCGAACCTGTAGTTGAAGCTTATGCTGACGCAGACTATGCAGGTTGTCGGGATACTCGACGTTCAACATCAGGGTGGTGTGTTAAAGTTGGTAACTCATTTATTTCCTGGAGGTGTAAGAAACAAGACAAGGTGTCCAAATCTTCTACAGAGGCGGAGTACAGGTCGATGAGTGAAGTGGCGTCTGAGATTACTTGGTTGTGTCGGCTTTTATCATAACTTCGTGTAGTGGTACGTGTTCCTGTGCGGTTACATGTTGACAATACTAGTGCAATACGTATAGCTACCGATCCAGTTCTGCATGACAGGACAAAGCATATTGAGGTTCATGTTCACTATATTAGATAGCTGGCGACAGAAGGCGTTGTAGAGCTTGCATACCTTACTTCAGAGGATCAGACAACGGATCTATTGACCAAGGCAGTTTCATCTAGTCGGCATTGGTTTCTAGCACACAAATTGATGTTGCGAAAGCACCATCAATTTGAGGGAGGGTGTTAGAAGTTAAGTGACTTAATTGTAATTAACCCATAGGGTTAAGAAGTCGGCCAGTATATATTGTTGAGATGGCCGACCTGCTCTTGTATTCTGTACGAGAATAATATACAAAACTCTGCCTTGTGTCGTGGACTAGTCTCAACGTTCTACATTGTGGAAACCACGTAAATTCGGTGTTCGTAGTTCTCGATTGTGTTTGTGTTTATTGACAGCCGCTTGTGTCTACGCGGTAGTTTCTCTCCTCCTCCGACAAGGAATAAACAAAAAGCATTCCTTTTCCAATAACAACACCAGCAGGCAGAGTGAACCCGACATTGTTTTTCCCTAAATAATGTCGTTTTAAGTACCGCGGTGTTGTTGGGCTTCCTCGCGGTGTCGTTTTAACTCTCCGCGATGTCGCTCAACATCAAACGACACCTTTTTTGTCCTGCGGTATCGAATTAAATGTCGAGACTAATTAATGCGGCATTTAATTCAATCCAAAATAATTTTAGGTGTCAACAAACGCTCATACGATCGCGAACGAAATCCACTTTCAAAAACACATTTACTGGTACGAATGGAGTCGTTTTTGTTGAGCATGATTCACTATAGAGAAGGTGGTTTTCATGAGATCACATCCTAAAGTTATAGTATTGAAGGCTAATCGATGCATTAACCTATCTTTTATCCATGACATTCCAGACTACATGTATCGAGCCACAAGGAATTGTAAAAATACTGCAATTGAAGACCTCGAGCCTATAGATAATTAGATACTGTTGTTCCTCTTCTTCATAAAATTGGGTCAAGTTGCTCGGCGGGGTTACTGGTTAGACTTGTATTCTTCAGTATAACCAAGCAATCAATTGCATTTCATAAAAAGATTAGAAAGGGCAATCAATTGCACTTTCAAATCTCATTCTTTTGAGGAACACGAGAGTACAATGAGAGCATGCACTGTCAAAAGTACCCCCAAAAGAAAGTTGATCGTCACACACATGGACAAGGCTGTTGGAGATTTGAGAACGCAGAGTCAAATCGGATTTAACAATGAGGCAGGTCTACCCAGATACAAAATAGGGTTCTAACTTCTACTAGTTCGTTTGTCTTCTGTTGCTTAATGGCAGCAGGTAAATGAACAGCAAACCAGTCATAAAGATAACATCAGCGTGGATTGATGCAGTCTGCTTGTTGACCACTTAGCATTGGTTGTGCTTGCCTGAGTTAAATGTGGGTTCAACCAAACCAGAAACCTAGTACGACCATCTATGGGTCCAAATCTGTCCAACAATAATAGATGAAAATGAAAGGCATCTATCACAACTCAGGCTTATGAACCTGACAGCAAATGAGCAGAGAAGAAAGACTTTCATTATAACACCTTTTCCCCACCACTCAACCCATAATAACGATTGGGAAAATGGAAAGGGGAAAAGGTGAACGTGATTTGATTTTGAAATTCGACGACCTATTTAAACACACCAATCTATCCCCCATCTATGCAAATGATGAAATGAGCACTCAAACATGAGTCCGATGGGGAAGAGACTGGGGCGTTTGTGGCCTTGTAATGCAAACTACTACACGAGAAAAAAGGAGTCATGAATCATTCTTCCAACAACACTAGTTCAAGCAGGCAAATTCAACCAAACCAACTCTGCAGGCTTCCCGATCGTCGTCCTTACAGCTTCGACGGCTTAGGGAAGATATCCGGGGTGAACTTCTGAGCTGCACTCAGGCTGCCCTTAATCTTCAGTGCTCCCCTGTTGCATCAACCATCCAACATGAAAACCCAATTGTCAGAAACCAAATCGCGAAGCATGATACAAGGACGATATAGAGTTGGTTGCAGGCCACAAACCTCATGAAAGCAATCTGAGGATTCATCTTCCCCGTTGCAAGCTTCATGAAATCCTCATCCTTGAGTGAAAAGACAGCATCAGGCTTCCCTCCTTCATATGGACCTGACTTCCCCAACAACACAACAACCAAAACGAACTCCTTACAATCAAATCCCAAGTGCTATTTTCTGGTGTCTCAATGTGCACCACAGTAAGCAATCATACCACCATACCCCCAAAAAAGGAATGACACAGCTCTAAGTTTGCAGTAAGTAACCCGATTGAGGATATACCATTTGGGGTGAATTCAGAACATACTCATTTGGATTGGGTGGATACCCACTTAGGTACAGTAGATATACTGCAGAAAAGTCTCCAAATTTCATTCAAACAGCATCTCATATCAGCATACTGAACCCTTTGAAATACATGAACAGAGCCGCAGAAACAGGACATTTCAAAATTTCCAATACACAGAAATTGCAAGAACAGAATAAAGAATTGGGATTGGGGGAGCAAGAGAGAGACTGAAAACCCTAACCTTTAGTAACCTGGCCTGTCTTGAGATCAATAGTGAAAATCACCTCATCGTACCCAATTTTCTGCGGAAGGTCGAGGAGAAACATTTCAGATGATCAGGCAGACATAACTCAATTAGATAGATAGATAGATAGATAGAGAGAGAGAGAGAGAGAGAGAGAGAGAGAGAGAGAGAGAGAGAGAGAAAGGGCATCAATCAAAAGATTAGGGAAGTGACCTTAGGCGCGATGTTAAACTGATAGACGAGATTGACCTTCTTCCTGACCTGGAGGCCTTCTTCGGTTTCGAGGAAGGCCTTGAGTAGATCAAGAATGGCAGCGGACTTGAGTTCGGTGGCAGCCATGGCTGAATGTTTCGAGTTTTGGGAATTCGGAGAAGAGAAGAAATTTGTTGGTGGGAGAGCGAGGGAAGTGATGGAGGGAGGGCAGAGCTTTTATTGTTGGAGCAAATCTTGGTGGAAGGCGAGAGACAAGGGGAAAGGGAAGAAGGCAGGGAGAGAGAGAGTTGGAAGAGAAGTTTGGTGGCAAAATTTAATGCCCAAATCTGCTGCCATTTATGGGATCCAAGAGATTAGATGAGGTGACGATGGAAATGGTTTCTCTACGACACGCAGTTCAATGCCGTTTTCCTATTTTAATCCAATCAAATTCAGGGAGCGTGGCGTAGAGACTTCATCAATCAAGAATGTCAAACCGATTTATATTGTCGCGTTGGTTTAATAAATGAAATGGTTTGATAGATAGTGTTACCACTAAAATTTATCTTGTACCACATCGATTAAATATAATGAATTAAATGACTATATAAGGTCAACTTAATTATAACAATTAAATCAATTAAGATGGGCCAAGTGGGTTGGGTTTTTTGGGCCCATAATCTCATAGCATCATGCGCCACTCTAACCATCTATTCCAAAATTTTGCTAAGTATTGGAGCCACCCCCATGACGAACCAAGAGGGATGGCCACAATCATACCACCCCCAGGACATGGCAAGGGGGGTGGGCATCATACCACCACCCCCAAGACGTGGCAAGGGGGGTGGACATCATACCGACACCCCCATGACATGGTGAGGGGGGTGATGGCCGAATTTGGCTAAGGCAAGGAGTATGGGAGCCACGAGCAACCCCATGAGGTGGTCTGGGGACCACCAACATAGCACCTCCATGGTATGATCAGGGGCTGGGGGAGTCACCAACGCAAGCTCCCATGAGGATGATATAGTAGTGGGGTGATCTATATGACCCCATGGGGGATGCCCCCCAATGGTATGGTGAGGGGGTCACCAACGTACACCCCCATGGTATGCCCAAACCTACTTCAAATTTTACAACAATTGCACAAAAGTTTTCTTTCCCGCTGGTCGTGGAGTACTCTGTTTTGCGCTGCCGCCGGTCAGCCCCCTTGCTTTGTCTGTAGCTGTTTTGCAGGCTACCCTCTCTGGTACGTTTGTGAGCTTTGATTGCTTGGCTCGTCTCCTTTTTTCCCCTGTTCGTTTTTGGGTGTTCAAGTTGTGCGAGGCGCGTAATGGAAAAAGAAATTGAGGCTCAGTTGCAGAGGCTATGCCTCAACGAAGATGAGACCCTCGACATCATAGTCGAGAAGGCGAATCTGAACTGTGGTACTGATGAAGCACTGGAAGAGTTAGGTTTGGTTGGGAAGCTCTTGTCCCATAAAGACCCAAATCTGAGTACGCTAACCAAGGTTATGGCCCAAGCGTGGAATACTAAAGAGGAGTTTGAAATGCAGAGGATTGAGAAACTGATATATGCAGTCCAGTTCTCAAACTCTGAAGACTGGAAACGAGTGTTGTACGGTGGTCCATGGCACTTTGACCACCAGGCGTTCATTTTCCGGCCGATTGATCGTGACAAAGATCTAGGAGATATGGACTTCACGGAGCTGGAGATCTGGGTGAAAGTCAAGAAGATACCATGAAATATGCGCACAGTGGCAATGGCTGAGAAAATTGGCAACCTCATTGGCACTTTTTTGATCTTCGACGCCTACCGTTCGGGGCATGGAGTTCCTCGATGCGGCTGAGAGTGCAGATCGACGCGTCAAAACCATTAAGACGTGGAGTTCTTCTAGAGATCGATGGGGTGAAGAACTAGTACAGGACGACGTACGAGAAGCTCCCCGTATTCTGTTATAATTGCGGACTTCTTGGTCATCAGCAATGACAATGTCCGAATCCAAAAGCGGCAGACGAAGATGGATCAGACGATCAGTATGGAAAATGGTTACATGCCTCACCCCTGAAGAAGGTCAGTCGATCGGAGAAGTGAGAAGGAGCTCGGATGGCCGGACTGTGGTCGGAAATCCAAAACTCCAGAATCGCCGGTCAGAGTCAGATAAGGAAATCTGATACCATGGTGCCGCAATCACAGGGTATTGGGAAATGAAAGCTGAAAGCGAGGATTAAGCTGGCGGATCTGTTGGGAGCGAAGATGGAAATTAGGGAGAAGGACCCGGTAGTGGAATTGATGGATACGGCGGAGGTGGTTATGGAAAGTGGACGAGAAGTTATTGGGGAAGATCAACAAAAGATGGAAAGCCCTAGGGCGATGGTTGTTATAGCACAGACAGGAAAGGAAGTTCGCGGGGGGGGGGGGGGGGGGGGGGGAATGCGGTATTGACTAGCGGAGGTCCTATTGAAGCGTAGTTAGTGGCAGAAGAAATTGGAAAAGAAATAAGGAAAATTAATAATGATGAAGATTCGGGGGGCCCAGGCGGGTGTGAAAAGCAGGCAAGGAAGGAAAAAATTGATGCTAGTAATGGGCTGGGAAATAAAAAAGGTAGAAGGGAATGAGTGGGCTGGGCTAAAGGAATCTCTTCATGAAAATAGCCCAGTCAAAGTGGGTACCAATGCCGTGTGGATCCCGTAGCAAGAAGAATATACTGAAGTTGGATTGGTAAATACAATTGGCATGAGACATAAGAGAGGCCATTGGACTCGGAAAATTAGAGTTCCATATGAAAAAGAGGAAAGAAGTGAGAAGGAGGTGATCTGTGGAATAAAACGAAAGGAGACGCTGGCAATGGAAACGGCTGAAACGTTGGAACAAAACAATTCTGTAGGAAAAAAACAAAAGGTGGCTGCTCGAGGAATCGCGTCACAAACAGAGGTGGACCCTGTATTGGTGCAGGGCCGCCAAGCGCCATGAAAATATTAAGCCTTAATTGCCGGGGATTGGGGAGTCCCGAGGCAAAGGCATCTCTCTCCGAACTCGTAAAACGAGTTCATCCCCAGATGATCTTCTTAATGGAAACAAAATTGGCAGGCGAGAAGTGGGAGACGATTAAGCGACGACTCCAATTTAGCAATGGAATTGGAGTGGGAGCATGGAACATAGCAGGAGGACTAGCTTTATTATGGGATACAATATTGATTTTACCCTGAAATCAATGTCTCAAAACCATATTGACGGTGTTATTAAGCACGAGGATGGCGAAAATGTGTGGCGCTTTACAGGGTTTTATGGGTGGCCGGAAGGGGACTATAAGAGACAGTCTTGGGATCTTTTGAGACGCCTCCATAATCAGATGAGTATGGCTTGGGTGGTCATGGGTGAATATAATCAGGTAGTATCTGGGAATGAGAAAAGAGGTAAGAGGCTTGAGGATGAGAGGGATATGCAGGCTTTTGAAAATGCTCTTTCGGATACTGAGTTGGAGGATCTGGGCTTCGTCGGGTATCCGTTTACCTGGGACAACGCACGCACGGGGGAGGCCTTTACTGAAGAGAGATTGGACCGGGCAGTTTGTAACCAGGATTGGGCTCAAGCCCATCCCTTTGCTCAGGTACGTCACCACGAAAGGCCCTACTCTAATCATAGAGTTGTGATTTTGGACACAGAAGGTTTAGAAGCCGAACCAGTGAGATGGGGGTGGAAATTCAAGTATGAATCGTATTGGGATGATGAGGAGGAATGCAAGACGATTGTGGAGGAAGAATGGGAAAGATGTAGTTCGCTTGAGACGGCGGAGCGATTGAGGGCTTGCGAGCAGAAATTACACGAGTGGAGCAAGGAGAAGTTTGGAAGTTGGAAGGAGCGGGTGAGGACGGTGGAAAAATCCCTAGTGGAGCTGGAGAGAAAACCTAGAGGGGAGAACTGGACCCAAGAAAGACGCAATCTTGAGATTGAACGAGCCGGGATCCTTGTTCAAGAGGAGAAGAAATGGCACCAACGATCGAGAATATCCTGGCTTGGCTATGTGGATAAGAATTCAAGGTTATTCCACAGAAGGGCGTCTGAAAGGAAGAAAAGGAATACGATCAGAAAGCTTATCAGTGAAGATGGGCGGGTGTGTCTGGGTCAAAATGAGGTCAGTGATTGCTTGGTTGATTACTATTCGCATATGTTTGAAAGCCAGGGAGACTTAGGTAGGGATACTGTCACCAAGCATGATCCCTCGACGAGTAACGTCGGAGATGAACGACTGGCTGCGGCGGCCGTTTACAGCCGAGGAAATTGAGGATGCCCTACAACACATGGGACCGTTGAAGGCCCCTGGGGAGGATGGTGTCCCGGCAATTTTTTACAAAAGGAACTGGGATGTGGTTAAAGAGCAAGTGACCGGGGAAATTCTACAAGCTCTCGCAGAAGGGAAACTACCACCGAAGATGAATCGGACTCTGATCTGCCTAATTCCGAAGGTGAAAAAACCCAAGTCACCGAAGGATTTTCGGACGATAAGCCTGTGCAATATCTCGTACAAAATCCTATCAAAAGTTTTGGCGAATCGGCTCAGAACCATCCTTCACAAGCTGATTTCAGAAACCCAGAGCGCCTTCGTACCAGGAAGGTCGATCTTCGATAATGCCCTGGCAGCGTTCGAGTGCTTCCATGCCACGAAGAAGAAAGACAGAAGGGTGAAGCGAGGGTTCTTTGCGGCGAAGCTGGATATGGCGAAAGCGTACGATCCGGTTGAGTGGAACTTCTTGAAGAGAGTCATGGAGAAGCTGGGTTTTGAGAGGCACTGGATTAATATTATTATGGAGTGTGTGTCGACTATGACATATTCAATTCTAGTGAACGGCCACCAGACTCGATCCATCACTCCTAGTAGGGGACTCTGGTAGGGAGACCCGATTTCACCATACGTATTCTTGTTGTGTGCAGAAGGATTGTCTTCAATGATAGAGAAGGCAGAAAGAGAAGGAAGTTGGCATGGTATTAAGGTTAGCCAAAAGGGGCCTTCAGTCTCACATCTACTATTCGCCGATGATTGCATTTTCTTTGCCAGGACATGTCATCAAGAGAGTGCGAAGATAAAGCAGATTCTATTTGACTATGAAAGAGAGTCGGGACAGATGATTAACCTGGGGAAATCGGAGTTGACGTTCAGTAACAATGTGGGGCAGCAAAGAAGGACGAAAATAGCGCAGAATTTGGGTATCCGAGAAGTATCAAAACACGAAAAATACCTGGGACTACCTACGATTGTGGGGAGATCCAAGAATGTTGTGTTTGCTTACATCAAGGAACGGATAAGGGACAGGACACAAGGGTGGAAAGGAAGGATGATTTCGACATCAGGGAAGGATGTGCTGATTAAAGCAGTGGCATTGGCT